TACGATCTTATCGTTTAAGATCTTAATAAAATTTAATGATTCTACTTTCATTCATCCTTTTGTTTTGCTCTCATTCATCTATATAAGTAATACCGAAAGTATAAGTGATTTTGCGGTTATTTTTCTTCCAGACTCTGCTAGTACTTGCTCTCTTGAAAGTGTTGAACAACTTTTTAGAGAGTGTACATGCAGGCCAAGGTCCATAGTTGGACACCTGAAAATATGAAATTTCTCTTCATTCTTCAACACTGTTCAACTGCTGCTTTGGATAATGCGGATTAAAAACTGAAAAATTTTCAGCAAATCTCGAATGAATATTATTTAAAAAACATCAGCGTTCTTACTATTAAGATTCTAACAGATTCTTATCCAGTCTTGAAAAAATCTTAGATAGTACAATCTTAGTAGGATTTCGCTTACATTTGCCTAAGATCTTAGAAAAATTTTATCAAATCTTAGAATTTTCGGATCTCACAATCTTAGCAAGATTTGTTTAAGATCTTAGACAAATGTAAGCGAAAAATCTTACATCGATCTTAGTAAGATTGGAGTAAGTTTTTCACTAGGATATGGTATCAAACAGAATTAGCCTATGTGAGTCAAAAATATTTCTAAGGTGAGTAGAGAGAAAAAATTTCTAAAAAACTTCAGCATCGAAGGGAATGGTTACATGTTCAAGCCACTATGTAAATTATTTGTATCTTACAATCATATAAGATAACAATTCACATTCAAAATTAGCATGTCGATATACAACTCATCTGATATTTCATCCTTCTTGTTGTTGAGATAAATAGTGGTATTAAATCAAAAAATATTGGAAAATCTGCTTCTTACTGAGCGTTTATCATCTATCCTGCTTACTCATTACACATTCTGCAAACCAAATAGAAACGTTTGATTGAGCATACTTTTTCTTCATAGAGTTTCCATTGTATCGTTATTTCATGTGGCACTTCATAGGGTATCGAAATATATAATAAATGTAATGGATTTGATAAATTCAAACATTTTAAACTTTTTTTGTAAATCTTTATATAATTTCTCAGCCAAATCTATTTCAATTGAACCTACATAAAGAAAGTAATTAATGATTTTATACTGGCAAAGAAAACTGAAACGCCTGCTCAATACCGTCGCATGTTGCTTTTCCTAAACGTGCTATTTCATACGTTATAGTCTCATTTGGTAATACTGTTGATGATACAATATGTTTATCGATTAAGTATTCTAAATATGTCTTTAATATATCTCCCATGTTATAATTTAAACGATTTGATTGTATTGAAAGCAATGTTTTGTTCAATAATGAGAGAAGTTCATCAAATGTTGAACCCATCTAAATGAGAAAAGCAGATAAATATCGTTTTAAAAATTTAAAAGAAAAATACTTTTAAACTAATTGCACTCAATAGAAGTTGTTTTATTCCATAACCAGAATCCTTCATCAAATTACTATCACAGGCAAACTAAAAATGAATTAAAATCTTATAATATCAAGTTTATTTGAAGCTTTAAAAATAATAACTAACCTGAGGTGCAAATAACACATTTTTTAACTAAAAATAGAGCAAAAAGTTATTATCGATTATGTTATGATCGATAGGGCAACACTCTTTACAACTGTTAGATTGTGTTGGCTTGTCCATTCACTAATACTTTACTTGCTGGACACAGTGAATATTTCAAGGAGTAAAATTCTTCTCATAGATTTCACCGTCATTTTTTCTTTCTTAATTTAGTCTAAAAACCAAAGACAGCCCTCCCTTAACTACAAGAAAAGTCGTGCATTTAGTATGGATGTAGAATAAATAGATAAATGTTTTGGAACAATCTGAGGATGATCAAAGTTTCAGTAACTTATGATACTAGATCCTCTTGTTCAAAAACATTTTTAGTAATATTTTAATTTTTCTTGATCTTTTTCATCAATATGTGAATTATTTCAATTCTAGCATCACATGGAGAAGATTAAATAATTTTGTTCTAGAGAATCAGCTCATTTTAGCCTATTTTAACAGGAACGAAATCATTAAACTTTAGTTATCAAGTGATAGTCCAAATATTGCTATTCATTTTCTGCTATATGAACAGCTCCATTCAAAAATAGCTCGTGTTCAGTAGCATTAATGGGCTGTTAAGATGTGCTAATGTTCAAAGAACGATATATGATGGCTCTTTTAGGAAAATGATACGTAAAGAATAAAAAAAAATGAATTTTATTTTAAATAAAATATATCTCTTTTTACCTGAACACAATCTTTGTCTCTGGCTAATATAATACATTCACCAGTTTCACTTTGTCCTGTTCTACCTGCTCTAGAAAAAAAAAAGAATATAAAAAATGCAGAATAATGTCGCCTGCTCTAAGAAAACTATACCGTCCAGCCATTTGTTTATATTGTGTAACACTAATAAATTGATCAGCAACGTATGGTGCACGAATAATTACTCTAAAATAAATATTTTGAAAAACGTGCGTAGAATTCAAATTTTTCTTTCAATTTTTACCGTTTTGCTGGTAAATTCACACCAGCTGCCAATGTTGATGTGCATGTTAAACATGTCAAAATACCATTTGAAAATGATTCTTCGATTAATAAACGTTCATCATTTGTTAAACCACTATGATGATAAGCTACACCATATGGAATTGTACATTTCAGAACATCACACAAGAATCCATCATTCATTTCGAACAAATTATTTATTAAATCTTGACGTTGCGTTGCATTATCATTAAGTAGCGTACTTAGAAATAAATTTAAAAAAATATAGAATAATTGTAGACATTTTTATTCATTTACCTCGGCATAAAACTGATAATTAATTGGGCAACATTTTCACAAATTTTTTTCGTTGGACAAAATACAAGACATTGATCATTTGGAATAGTTTCAGATACAAGTGCAACCAACTGATCTGGATCTGATTTAAGTTGTTCTTTAGTGTACTACAACGAAAAAGACAGTTAAAGTAAGTACAAATGAATAATTACAAATTCGATATTCACTTCAACGCTAATAGAACGATCTTCTTTTAACTGATTTTCATCGTCCATTGCACTTCGATCAACTTTATAAATATTCTTATTCAATTTCACATATTCTTCTAATTTCACCTAAATAAAATAGGAAAAAAAATATGTTTCTATTTGAAAATAATTCGACATCAAAAATAGAGAATAATACCGGACGAAAATATTCTTCATAAAATTCTGCACCAAGAAATAATTTTAATTCATCGACATTTGACAATGTTGCACTCATTCCAATAATTTGTGTTGTAGCTAAAATAGTATATTCTCTGTAGATGTTAAATGAGTACACGAATGAGAAGCGTTAATCAAGTGAAATAGTAGCACCAAAAAAATTTTAAAAGCAAAGTGCAAAAGTGTGCATGATACAATCTAACGAAACAAGAAAATTGCAAAAATAGTGTAATAAGCAATTATTTTTACCTCATTGAACATCTAGTTAAAACGAGAAAATAAATGTTTTAATTAAAAATGAAAACGTAAGTATGCAACTTCGATGTCTGAAAAACTAGTAGCAAATACACAATATAATAGAAAACGACTTAGAGGAGCAATAATAATAATAGGGTATATAAAGTATAGAAGTACTGTAATATTACTCCATAATAACACTCCGTGTGTTTTTCTTCATTTTATTCGATATTAAATGTGATCAGTTGAAAAAAAACTCTTGGAAATGTTAGTGTGTAATAATCCATTCCGTTTTATGAACAAGAATTATGTCCAAGTCGACAGTGTAGCGATGGGTAGTCCACTAACACCCATTTTAGCAGACGCCTTTATGTCTTAACTAGGCATGCATCAATTTCAATTAATTGGAATTAGTCAGACTTGGAACTGGAATTGGGACTGGTGAAATTTTTTCTACATATCAGACAACTATAATTGTCATTGTTTCTCGTACGGACAGAACTAAGAGAAACGAATTTAAGATAGATATGTTTCGAATACTGATCCTAAGTACTGGTGAAAATTGATTTTATGTGAACATGTTAAATTATTTCCACCTAATATTAAAAAATTCATAACTCTGTCAAAATTCATCATAATGACCTTAAAATTTCAGAAGATACACTGTTTAGACACATTCTAGGATTAAAAAAACAAATAAAGCCATTTTCTATCCTACGGTTTTCTAAAAATTCAGCTGAAAAACCAAATTCTTTTCTCGAAACAATTTCTAGTTTTTATGATAAATCATACGTAGAGTTGTCCAAGTTAAATATCTTCTGAGGTCGTTATGATGTTTGACACAATTTATCAGTCTTATAAAAGAAAGGAAGAAAATACATAGTTCAATGTATAGTGTATACGAATTCTTTTGTTCACATATTCGCTCTTTTTTCTGTATTTATCTAGCTATTCTGATAAAACATCTTCAACCAAAGTATCACAGACTAATTGCCATGCATTTGATATCCGACTATACTTACTACACTATAACTTACGTGATACAAATCGAAGTTTTGTTAACGCTGTTTCCAATGTAGCTCCACGAGTTCCACCTTCACCGATCATATGAAGCTAAAATTAGAAAATTTTGTTACACTCACTATTTAATATCTGGTAAAAAGGCAACAAAATTTTGTTTCACTAACTTCATCGACAACAACGAAACCCAGATCATTTAACCGTTTATTTTCAATTAATGAATTAATCAATGAATTTGCTTTTTCAATTGTGCACACATATAATGAACGTTTTTGTCGTCGTTTGATGGGCGGAAATTTGCCTTTGTTTGATGCATATTCTTCACAGTGAAAATCTAAATAACAAATATTAATAATTTTCTTAGATTTCTTTTATTCTCAAATAACTCTTACTTAATTCTGATGCGAATACCTCTAAACTTCGCACCTATAACAAATATAATCAGAAATCTTATTAGTGATCAGATTTAATACTTAGAAATGATCATGCAAAAGTTCAGCACATTTTTTTCTGACTGAAACACAGATCACCGGGTAGATCTACCGATGCTGATCACGAATATGACCTTTTTTTTAAATGTTAATAAAGTCTTCGCGAAGAAAATGGTAAAAT